TTATTCTTTACTGTTTTCCAGTTTCTTTTATTCTTCTAACAGTTTTTTGATTTTGTGTTTTAACACAGTAGCGAATCACATTCTCTACCAAAGGCAGCTAAAACTGAGAAATTTTACTATGTGAGTCACATAACCAACATTACTTATGTGAGTCTAGCTCATTTATTGACAAGTGGACTCGTATCCTTACTTATTTATTTTAACGCATAAATTAAAAAAGGCAATATTTAAGTCTATTCTTTTTTCTAATTAGAGGCTTAAATGATGGACAATAAAAGAAAATTAAAATAAGAAAAGATCTCTTTCATTATATTATTAGATATACTCATTCATTAAAAAAACTTTTTTATTGAAAATATTCATTTTAGGATCCAAGTAAAAATTAATGGCACAAGAAATCTCTATATCTGCAAAATTTATACGCATCGTATCTTGAGCTATTCAACCAAAGAGAATATTAATAAATATTTTATATGATAGGTGAGAGAAAGTAGAAAATTAGAAATGTAAACTTGTAATATTCAATTAAAAAGTACTCATTAGTTGATCACAGTTTAAATAATAAAACTTGTAATTTCACCAAGAAACTTAGTCAAAGTTTTAAAAAATCTTAACGAGTCATTCACCAACTTCTAGTTTATCCTCTAACCTTGTAATGTTGATTTTTCTCAAATTAGAGTAGCCATAAATTAGTTCAATAATATGAAGTAAAGACAATCTAGGCATGCAAAATCTTTTATCAAAGAGTAGACAGTAATTGTTGATCCTGGAGAGATTGTTTTTTTCCCTTTTATTGTCCATCATTTAAGCCTCTAATTAGGAAAAGAATAGATTTAAATATTGTTTTTTTTAGTTTATGCTTTAAAATAAGTAAGTAGTGTTGGACTTTAAAGGCATTGGGCTTCAAAGACTTTAAGCATTGGGCTTTAAAGTATAAGAGTGTGAATTGGAAATGGTGGGAAATGAAAATTTGAATGAAGTGAGCTTTTGACTTGCACTTTGTCCCTCATTGGTGAGGGACAACTACATTTTTGTGCTTATATATAGAATCACTTCTTAAAGCTCTTAAAAGGAGTTGAAGAGAATGATCCCTCGCGCCGTCGTCGCTCGGCTTCGGCTTCGGCTTCGGCTTCGGATTTGTCAAATGATCGATAAGATTATTTTTGGACAAAATTTATTTAATTAAGGATAGTCTGGCCGCGGTCCTGGCGTAACCGCGGTAGGACCGCGTCAGAATCCTGCTGCAGATTCAGAGGGCCACTCTGGCCGCGGTCCTGGCGTAACCGCGGCAGGTCGCGTAAACTTCTGAAAAGGCACCTTTTCCAGAACAAACATCACACCTCTTCCAATAATTGCCTATAAATTCTGAGGCATAGCTTCGTTTTTAACACACCAAAAACATTACAGAACTTCCTTCTTTCTGAAAATACTGCATTCTAATTCGCAGTCTCTCTCTCTCAAATTCGTATGTGTGATTTTGCTCCGTTCTTTAAGTTCGTTGGTATCCTGCAGTTTGTATTGCCATTGTTGCGGGAAGGTTTATTCCGTTTCATCCTGGGAGGATTTAATCCATTACCTTGGCAACGTGTGAGGGGGTTAAAATTCCTTAAGGACACACAAGCAAATTGTGGACTCGGAATATTTCTTATTCTTTACTGTTTTTCCAGTTTCTTTTATTCTTCTAATAGTTTTCTGATTTACTGTTTTAACACAGTAGCGGACAACAAGTAGGGATATGAGTCCACTTGTCAAGAAATGAACTAGACTCATATAAGTAATGTTAGTTATGTGACTTACATAGTGAAATTTCTCGCTAAAACCAACTGCGATCTCATGCTAAGTTGAAGTTAGACTCTAATTGGATGTTTTCCTTTTATAAACTCAGACATATATATTAGTTTGTGATGTTCGAAGGATCGATGTATATCTTCCATTCATTTTGAGAAAGATGAAACTGACATATAGCTTACTGATTAAAAATTTATCAATAGCTTATAACTTGATTAAATGTTATATTTTGAGAAGATTTCCATAATTTGCTTCCAGCTTCCCTCCCTAGGGAAAAATTGCAGCTACTTAACCAGTGAACCAACACAGCAAATCTAACCATGGGTTCACAAAGGTAATATTTAGACAAATTATATGAATTATACACATAATATACACAAATTTTGTCGAAGACCACGGATTCATGTGAACCCTTCTGTACACTGTAAATCCGCCCCTGCTTATATAGACAACAATAAACGTGCTTTCACCTTGAGCTTTCCTTCCAGTACTTTTTTCACGGCAAGAAAATGTCTTCAGGTAAATACTTACCCGTAGCGTTTACATCAAACAAATTCAACTTATCATGATTAAGTGATTTATGTAGTGAAGATATATATTAATTAAAAATAATTAAGTTATAGAAATGTATATGCAAACACATGTTATGCATCTATTCGCTTGATATAAACACCGAGTACAGATAAATATTTACATTTCTTTTTGTAGAAATGACACCATGCAGCCACTCTAAAGGGCTGCTATTTAGGAATTAGTTAATGCGTCATTAATTTCAGTTTTTCAGTTTAAATTTTCAGGACAAAAATGTCATGAGTTGTCGTGAAGTTAAGATTTTTAATTTAAAATTTTAGGACAAAGTAAGTACTGGCTAATCTCTAAATAGCATCCCCGAGAATGGCTACCTGTGCACTTGCCCCTTTTTTTTGTGAAAATTACACTGGGTAGCCACTTTTAAGCATGGTGTTTAAAATATATCAACAATTTACAATGTATTTAAAGATTAGCCACTTTCGCTCAAACTCCAGGACACGACGTCCTAGAGTTTAAACCTCAAAATTCAAGCTTCAGGACATCGTATCCTAAAGTTCGAAATTTTGTCCAGAAATTCGAATCTTATGTCCTGAAGTTTAAATTGGTAGTTCAGAAATTTAGGGCACTTAGTCCTGAATTTTAAATTAGCAGCTAAAAAATTCAGGACACTAAGTTTTGAATTTCCAAATTCAGGATACTTAGTCCTAAAGTTTGGGTGAATTGGCTAATCTTTAAATACATTGTAAATTACGAATATATTTTAAATAGCGGACTTAAAAGTGACGTGAAAATAGCACGGGCTAGACAATTTTCGGACTGGTAATTGAAAAATAGCCAGCGTTTGCAAAGTCATTGAAAAATAGCCACTATTTTGCTGCAACACGAAAAGTTCCAGCATAATATACTGGAGATTGGTGCACTTGTGTATGCACTTCCAGCTTATTATGCTGAAACTCCAACATACAGAAAGTTCCATCATAATATACTGAAGATTGGAGCATCTGTGTATGAACTTACAACATATTATGGAAGTCCGGTATATTATACTGGAAGTCCGGTATATTATACTGGAAGTCCGGTATATTATGCTGGAAGTCCGGTATATTATGCTGGAAGTTTGGTATATTATACTGGAACTCCGGTATAATATATTGGAAGTCCAATATGTTATACTGGACCTCCGGTATATTATGCTAGAATATTTTCCGGATTTTGACCAATGTTTTCGTTCAAATTTATCTTTACATGAAAAGTGGATAAATTTCGATTAATTTTGAAACTGTGGCTATTTTTCAATTACCACTTATAAATCTGGCTATTTTTGAATTTCTCCCAAAAGTGACTATTGTTGCAGTTCGCCCTTCTTTTTTAGCTTTGGGCCTTTGGCCCATCCAATTTCGTACCAATTATTGTTGTGGCCTTCATGTTGTTGCATTTCTTCTCTTCTAGAGCATACAAGGGAAGATGAAATTCCAAAATTCTCATCTTGAATATTCCCAAATATCAAAAAATTATGTTTCACTTGGGAACTAGAAGTGATAATATATAATGATATTACGTTGACTTACAATAATAGATAGCTCTTTATGGCAAGATTGACATAGTAGTTTGAAAAATATAATAATAATTAATAGGGAAACTACCAGCTATGTCCATTTATAAGTAGTTCATTACAAAAATTGGTCAATTCATAAAATATTACTAATATTAGCCAATTAGCTATTTGTAGCAAGAAAATATCAAAATTTTGCTTTCTTTTGCGTAGGTGTTATTAGAATAGATTAGGTACATCTTAAGGAGCTTGAATCTCAGTTTTGGGATGATTTGGTGAAGTTTTGAGGTGGTTTGAATTGAAAATTCGAAGTAAAAACTTAACATGAAAAAATGATATGTGTATCACACTGTGTATCATTTGTGTATCACACATGTATTATTTATGTATATTGTGTATCACATGTATATCCATGTATACATGTGTGTGAGATACATGTGTAATACATGTTTGATACATGTTTCGCAGAAGAATTTTTTGAACTCGATTTAATTGCGAATTTTGTTACAAAACCAGTCCAAATCACCTCCAATCTTCCTCAAATTTTGTACATTGACTTATCTATATATTTTCAATGAATTTCAACTATACCCATTGAAAAAGTTCCTTTTTTGCTTTGATTTTTGGAATATTGTATTTTTTTTTTGTATTTCATCACTTTATTTGCTACCTCATCCAAGAAATTTCCTTTCTGTCTTGCATCTAATGTTGCTAATCACGCTTAAAAATATGAAAGGTGATTTTTGCATGTTGTTCTTTGAGAGAAAGAACCTTATTTATTTGGGTTTTTAATTTTTATATATGATTGACTAATTTTGGTAAATCTATGACTAATGGCTAGTGGTTGGTAAGTTGAGACTTATTTGGGACTTTTGTGTAAGTTTCCCTAATTAATAACCTATTATATGAACGTTCCGTTAGATTTACTTAGATGAATATTATTTTTTGCATGATTTTTGTTATTCAAGGGGTTTAAGTGTTTGATTTTTTTAATAATATAAAGATGATTGTTTTATTTAAGAGATATCTATCATATGAGAGATTTAAGGGATTGATTTACAAATTCATTTAGTTGAATTTTATACTACTTAGGAGTAATTTGCTCAGAAAAAACTAATGCGCAGTCGTGTTATGATAAAAAATATGACGGCTCAATCACAGCCGTAAAAAAATCACGTGGGAAAATAAAATGACCTTGAAGCGGGAAAAATCCACCATTTTTTCGCTGCACTTTGCTCTCTCACTCGCCCTTCTCTTCTCCACTGAATTTATATTCGTTTTACAGATTATGGAGAAATACTTGGCTCCTTCAGATCTCTCTTCCATAAACCCTAAAGCCAGTAAAAGGTAACTCCTTCTTCTTTTTATTTATTTTTTAAATTTGGTGAAATTTGTAAAATAGAATAAAAAGGCATACTTTTTCTTAATATTAGGTCACAATGGAAGAGAAGTCTAGTGGAATTAAATGGAAAATTTGATCGAAAGTACCAGCATGATGTATCTGGATTACTTATGCAATCTTATTCAGAGGTCAGTTATGTGTCTGTGTGCGTGCGTGTTTTTTTCTTTCAATTTTGATTATTGTGTTTTCGTTTCTCAATTAATGTTAATTTTTTTTTGGTTAATTTTTAAGGTTATGGCGTTACCTCATACTTATCACATCAATGGAGCACCTTGTCAAACACATGTACTGTTAATCTATGCCTTTCTTATTAGTTTTTTCTTGTTCAATTTGTTGCTAAACTGTTCTAATTTTATCATCATGTATAATATTTGAGAAAAATAAGATCAATTTTTTCCTTGTTCGAACTAAATTTCATGAGTTTTAATTAGGAAACCTAGCTACGTTACACAAATTACTCCTTATGTCCCGAAGTTTAAGAAAAAAGAAAGATTATTGATACTTGTGGTCTAAAACAAGTCATAAATATTTTGTAGCTATGAATTATCTCATTGAGGGTAAAATTAAAAGATTAAAGTTAAATTATTTCTCAATACAGAAAAGCATCATTCTTTTTTAAATGAAAGTGCACCACATAAATTGGGTCGGAGGGAGTATTAGTGTTGACTTTGACGCCTTTTTCTTTTTTAAATGTTAATAATCTCTAATAAGGTCTTCGTCATTTGTTCTTATGCGAGCTTCCAGGTGAACTGGTTTCTTGGTGGTGCTGGTTCTGACTATAGTCAAAATCCGTCGGGCGGGTACTGTCTTCTTTTGATTTGTTTTCATTTATTTGGTTGTTTAATTTATGAAGCAATTAAATTATTACTTGTGTCCGAGTCTTGTCTTGTTAATGGCTCTTCTCTTGATTTCATTTTCCTTTTGCTTCCAGACAGGGTATCTCAGCTTTGGAATTTGATAAAAAGGTAATTACTGGATTATTAATCTCTTGAACTTGATCTGAAGTCCCTCAAGTTTGTTGTGTTCTTCCTTGTTTTGGAACTATTTGGCTGCTATATTTTTTGCTTTATCTCATGGCCTTGTTTTATTCTTCCAGTAGATGCTTTTTAAGTATGCTGCTATCTTGCATAGAATTTCAATTTCCGTCTCATTTCCATCTAATTACTTGGGAATTCAGATTAACTGTAAAAAATGGCAAAAGAGAAGCTTCTTGTATTCTCATGCATACTCAACAAAACTGAGAGAACACAGCTTGTTCCTACAGGCTGTACAATTTTGAAAGTTGAAACAGTAACAAGATTTTTTTTTCTCAGTCTATATCATGCCAGATAGAATAACCTCCTCTCAAGCAGTTGGGCCTGTAAATCAGTGTTCCCCATATCAATCCGATTTAGGCAGAAATGGCAGGCATGAAAGTTAGAACATTGTGTTGGCTAAAGAGAAGTAAGATATGGTTTCAGAATGTTCTTCATCATACGTTGTGAATCCAAATGAGGTGTTAGATCAACGTAATTGTGTATTCCTGCTACAAGCTAGAGAGGTGAATAGTTTTATGCTAGTTATTAAATAGTTCAGTCAGTATTATTGATTCTATAAGAATGAAATACATAAAACTGTTTAGCTGTCTCAGTTACATGGCAAACTCAACCTTGATTGCTGAGTCTGATGAGGATTCAACATAATTCGGCCACTTAGTTGTGTTGGTATGTGCCCCTGAAGGTCCATTATCCATACTGCTAAGCCAACACATCATCTGTTTGCTTCTTGAAGACTAGTCATTGTCTATTACAATTTTGTTTTACAATTATAGAATCTGTTTGCTGTCTTCAAACAGTTCTACTTAACCTGTCTTCCCTTCCCCTAATAATAAGCAACAGGAACTTAACGAACTTGCAGTTAGAGTTCTTGTTGTACTTTATTCCTTTTGCTGCTTGAGCAACACTCAGCATGCCTTTTCTTCCTTCAAGATACCTTTTGTACTGGAAGATGCCTATTACTGGGATTTAATGGTGATTGCTGGCGGTTTTAAGAAGTTCTTGTGAATTTCTTATAAACGGAAGATAGTAAACATGGGGAGCTGTGGCTCGGGCAGAATTGGTAAGAGCACGGGAAGACCATGACAGTTAGCTGCTTCTGAGTAGGACAGCCTAATAAGAAAGAAGAAAGGAGGTTGTGTGTGAAAGATGATGAGAAACTGTTAGATGTTATTAAGTTCACAGTATTTTCAACAGGGGAGACTTAGAGAACCATAAACTTCATTATGGATTTCTCCACCTCCTTAAATATTTTACTGTTGCATACTTGTTTTCTTAAGGAACTATCAAGGGAAGAGGTTTCTTTTTCATAACCGTAGACAAACTTATAATTTATGCATGGTTTAGGATTACCTTATTCTATGCCTGTCAGTCTCTTCTCTTAAATTAAGTATCCCCTTCTGTTCTTCAGTTCCTCATATTTTATTGCATCTTCATTTTTGGCAGGGCGTATATCTAGCATCAGTGACTAAATCAGGTTGCTTAACTGTGCATGACTACGAGAGTCTCCATTGTGATGGTAAGATACAAGTTTCTTCATCATGTGTATTTGACTATTTGTTCTTAAATATGTGTCCCTGGAGAATTTATTGTATAACCATTCTGATCAGTGATCATATTTAATGGGGTTGAGTGAACACAAGACTCTTTTAGTTTGATAAGTCTGTAGGAGTTGTCTGGGCTTTACCAAGTTGGGCATTATCTACTAGCCAATTTTAGTGGTATACAGTATGAACATGCATATTAAAAACATTGCTAGATTAGAATAGGTTAAGCTGAAAAAGCTTTAACCTATGATATAAGACATGCATTTTGATGTGTAAATGTTGTTTAACTCTGGAATATGTGAAGAATACAACAACAACAACATACCTAGTATAAACCCATAAGTGGGGTCTGGGAGGGTAGTGTGTACGCAGACCTTACCCCTACCATGTGAATGTAGAGAGGTTTTTATCGAAGACCCTCAGCTCAAGGACAAAATATATGAAGAAGAGAGATAGAAAAAGTTAGTGTTTACTCATCCGCAGTATTCCAATACATAAAAGAAAAAGGAAGGAAGAAGAAGATCACTTTATCAATCTTTATGGATCCTACAAGTAAGTTAGGAGAGAGTTTCTTTGGACGGGCTATTATAAGACTAGATACTTTTTATGTACTTGTGTCTGCACTGAAGTCTTGGACATATTCTTCTTTTGAGTTACACCCATTTCCTGCTAAAATTTTTGTAGCACACTAATGTTAATTGGAAGCAAGACAATCCCTTGCAATTATCCACAAGATCATACTTTTCACTTGCTATCAAATTCATATTTTATGCTCACATTTACTGATGAGTAAAACCAACTTTTTACCTTTATTATATTGTGATTATTTATGCATAAGCATATTTCTGTGGGGTAGGCGTTCCTAAGAAATTTATTCAATACTGGAATTCCAAGTATGAGAAAGATCTTTTGAAACTTAATTCAGCCTCCACATATTGAGTTGGCTAATGAAACAGGATAAATTTTTCCCCTAAACAATCTGCCTCAAGTGCAGATGTCGAGAATATCTGTTCCCTTTCCACGATAAGATCATGGATATTGATAGATCAAACTAGACAACCACTGCATGCTTTGCCTTTGATGTAGTTTATTGTTGAGCTACTTCTTACACAATGTTGTGGAATTTGAACACTTCATATAGGTTCAAAAGAGGATGAAACAAAGCAGTTGCTGCACATTTCTACTGGTCAACAACTTGATGTTGTTCGATGGAATGTTTCCAATCAAGATGAGGTTTGAGCACTTTCCCACTGCAAGATTTTATGCATCGGAAAAGTTAAATCGTTCTTCAGATTCTGATAGCTTAAATATCATGATTTGATGTTAATATTTGAACAGTAGCAGTGGACGAATTACCAAGATTCTTGGTAGGAAAGCTAAGAACATAATAGCAGTCTCAGTAAAACGTAGGAAAAAAAAAACCCAAAAGGTGAATAGAAAGCCCCAAATTATAATTCCTTAGGCCCTTAGTAAAATAATGCTAAATTTCAAGGAATACCCTTTAGTTAAGTCTATGTTACATGAACTCTTTGTTTTTCAGATGTAAGTTGCACAGCCATGATGTGGTTATTAGTAATTCGTATGGGTCTTTAAACGACACCAAAGACCTGCTAAAACTAAAGATATGTGTGTTAGTTTCATACACCAATGCGATTGTTACGACCTAGTCCATGTACCTAAATCAAGCGTAGAAATGCGTTAAAGAACGCCTAAAACTTCAAAACACATTTGATATTTGGGTTCAACAGAGTCTTTTTTTGTCCGCTTTGGACCACATAAATTCTCTGTAGCTGATAGTGAACTTTCCCTTTTAAGGCCTGTTTTTCTGTTTCTTCAAATTGATCAGCTTTTTCATCTTGTTCTAGCTGGAATGTATGACTTCTAGTTGGACTTTAGAATTAATATTTTTTATTTTTTCATAATCAGGTTGCAAGCACATCTATGAAAAGTTCTGAAGTATGTATATTTGACATTGGCTATGTATCCTCAGAACCTGTTGAAGTAAGTACCATCTTCCGTTTCACTAGAGTTTCAAACAATTACATTTTGTAATGTGAAGTCGCTTCCTCCTTCATAGTTATCTACATTTGATTAGCCACAGGGCCCAAAAGTGCTGATGAAGTAGTTAACTCATAATCATTGAAGCTTATTAACATAAAGTGGGTCTCACTGCACAAATAATGTGAAACTGAAAAGGCAATAACTTTGTGGTTTTCTATTTGGTGAAGAGTGCCTGGTTTTTTTCCCCTTNTACCCCCCCCCCCCCCCCCCCCCCTTTTTTTTTTTGGTCACTCGTAGTAATGCGAGCAGAAAATACAACTCGTGTCTACTGTTGTTCTACTTTTGGTGTAAAGGAAAACTTTTAGAAGAACATGGGTCTATTTTTGATGTTTTAGATTCCTTGTGAGAAGACCAAGGATTAGGAGTCCCTTTTCCTCTCCTATGTAATTATGGGTGACTCCACAGTTTTTGTGTAGTCCTTATATTAATATACAATATGTTACCTTCTCAAAAAAAAAAAAAAAGAATTTGTCTGTCAATTTATTAACTTGGCACATCTATGAGAAAAATAGAAGAAGTGGCTGGATTTCAATTTGATACCCTTTTCCTGTGTTCCAGGTTTAAGTCAAATTGAATTTACAAAGGAACATTTCTGTTATCTAAGCTCATCAGTTCAGAAGGCTCTGAATCCCCGTTGTCGGGAGAAATTAATTTACTTTACGAACCGTAGTTTGACAATTGGAAGTATGTCTCTAATTTTCTCCTATCAAGATGTGAACTGATAAAATTGTAGGTTACTGAACTTTTACTTAGGACATGAACCTGGACATGTATAATCAGTTGTGTCATCTAGAGCTGGATCAACCAATTCTTTTCAAACTTTTACTGTGTCATTTGCAAATAAGTACTTCAACTATAAATAAGGTTGATAAAGGATCTTCAAGAACCTAGATATCGTATTGGTACTAGTGTGTCTTTGAAGTCAGTCCATTGTTTGCAAGGAAATTCAGTATAGCCCAGTCTGAAGGAGCTGAGGATGAGTGAAAGCTGAAAAGTTATTTGTTTATGATGGTTAAACTGACACAGATATGTAATACCGCAAGATTCTATGTCAAGTATGCAGAAACTTTATTAAAAAGTTTGCACGGAACTCCCTGTTCATATAGATGCATTATTATGTAGATATCTTCCATGTGCCTAATTTTTTCAGCAAACACAAGGAGCAAGTGTTGCGGCTGGCTTATTTCTTGTGCTTATAGTACTTTTTGATCTTTAAAGTTTTTTTTCCTGCTAAAATTTGTTAGAAAAAGAAAAAAAGTAGTTGTCCTTGTTAACATCCAGAATTTTCTTTTTCTTTTGCCTTTGTTATAATTTGTGTAGGTGTTAAGGAAAAGGCCGACTATCTCTGTTCATGGATATAATGTTCATAAAGGTTTCTCTGATATAGCATTTTGTTCCAATGATGATTCAAGGTTAGCTAAATAGCCTTCTTTTAGCAGTTATTTCACTCTAGTAGATGTGTTTCTAAATTAACATTTAAGAGACAATGCTAAAGATGAACATAACTTTGGAGAACCAGTACTAAAGCTAGGAAATAATGATGGAACTTCTTTATTGAGGCTTGAAGACCTTTCTTTGTTCTAACTTACTTTAAAGTAAGGCTAAGTTGGGTAAATCATCATTTTCTGTTAATTTTACATAATTTTTGAGGATGTACAACCTTAAACTATGTTTTCGTAACATGTAATTTATGTTTTATCTTTTCTCATTTTGAGTATAATTATTTAGTAGAGTTTTAGGTTTGTAGTTTCCTAACGAAAAAATTTCCGAATTTTTTCTAGGCCCTTTTGAATAATAATATGTTTGCTTCATCAGGTTACTTGCTTCTGATGTTTCTGGTGTAATAAATATATGGGACAGAAGAGCGAGTGATCTTCCATGTCTTGAGCTAGCAACCAATTCCAGTAGTCCTCTTAACAGTATCAAGTTGAATGCTGACGATCAGGTTACTCTTAAGTTTTAATTTTTTTTTGCCATCAATAACTTTATAGCCTTGGAAAAGTAATTCTTCTTTTCTTCTTCCCAAGACTGTACCATCTCATTGTTTTCTCTTCTCAAAGGTTATTTTTGGAGCTAGCAAGCAGGGGATCATCTACATGTGGGATATTCGTGGTGGAAGATCGTCTACAGCTTTCCAAAATAACAAAGTGGTACTAGTATTCTGTAAATATTTCTTAATGCTAGGCTGCCAATTAGCTCACGGTAGAGCATGTAGGAAAATAGTTTATTGCTTTCTTGTCCATGTAGATCTAAATAGTTGACTAGTAGAATATCCAATGCTCCTTTTTTCTTCCATTGTAAGTTCTCATCTCTTTGTAGTTACTAACTTTAGTTGATCGAAAGAGAAAAGGACCTCTGGTGGTTGATGTCATGTGAGTTATATTTATGCTATCAATAAGTAGAACACAAGAAATTATATGATCTAGGGTTTCCGATGACTTGGGTAACTTCTTAATAGTGTCTAATATAGAGCTTTCTGGTTTTCCAGGTAAGTTATTCTCCTATTACAGCAGTGAAAATAGCATCTGAGTTAGAGAAAATTGTTTCTTTGAAGGTATGTTAACTTTTAAGTCATGTTAGTTAGCCATTGACTTTTTTCACAACTAAAGTGGCGTTATCTACTCTCTCCAATTTCACGAATATATTGTAATTTGTGATTCTTCTTGTTCTTGGTATACTTTTGGTCATGCCAAGTAGGGCATTGAGCTAGTACGTAACATGTCTAAAGCACAGATATAGATCAGTTGCAGACAATCCTAATTATCTATTTTTCAGATATTCTTATCTATAGCTTTTCCCATAATTCCCGTACACTTTTTATTACTATCTTATTCTCGACATCACTGTACAGGCTCAGTCAAATATAGTTTCCAAGGAAATACACTCCATTGATATAAATCCATCTTGCCAATATCAACTGGCATTTCATCTTGACGATGGTTGGTAAGTTGGAGAGAAAATGCATAGCCTTTTATTTGTTTATTTCTTGATGTATTTGTCAATCCAGTGTGTTCAATTATACATTGTTTTTTACAGATGTGCCCCCTGTAGGTTAGAAGCTTTGTGTTGGTTCTCCTCTCTTTCTTTCTTCTGTATCTATAATCAGAATAGATGAGTAAATTGCTGGAAAGAGAAATCATACTGTAAAAGAAGCAAACTAAAATGTATTGATAAACATTTATATGAATCTATGTTACCACTGTATAGAAGGCCTGGCATATATAATCAGCGACTCCTTACTAGGGGGGAACATGTAGTTTCTTTCTTGGTCTAGTTATTGAATTTTATAAACTTGTAGTATTTCCATTTTAGCAAATTTTCAGATAATATACAGCTTTCATTTATGTATGTTTCTGGTGATGAATGATGGTATGCTAAAACTCATCTGTGAGAACTGATAGCTGTTTATATGCAAAAAAAATGTAGTGCACGATGTACTGATGGAAATCTTAATGTACCTTGAGCTCATTTGCCATTTGCCGAATTTTATGTTTTCACCTCTGCTATGCACATGAAACTCATCTAGAAAGGGTCTGCCGGACTCATGGCTGTTTTCTCAGAATAAAACACCCAACATAGGACCTGTACCTGATTAGATTGCCATACTGCATGCTTCTGCTAATTTTACCAGATCATTTTTGCTGGACAAACCCTTGTACTTGTCGTATCAAGCAGCCATGAATATCCCATACACTAAAGTTTGAAAATTTCTGTCTCAACATATACTTGGGTGCAACATTTGTTCCTTGGTCCTCATTTTTAGCTATTACTATCAATAACCAAATGTGACATACTACAACAATTTCACGCTTACTTGTTTTACGATTAATAGACATATCACTCCTTATACTTGTTAGATAAGTGTTATTGTTTTTGGGTTTCTACAGGTCAGGTGTTTTGGATGTCCATAGTTTGAAAGTCACACATATTCATTGCCCCCCTCCACCCTGGTTGTGAGTACAAGGGCTTCCTTAGTTCATACTATTTCTAACTGGAGATTTTGTTAATAACCTTTGACTTACATTTATTTGTCTTCTTCCTGAGCATAGGGATGACTTCAATGATTTGACTAACTTACATTGCTTACGGAAACCTTCATGGCTACCAGCGTATTCGGTAAGCTTAATCCTCCTGCTGCACATATTCAGTTCCACTCGAGTTGTATTTGTGCACAGGATATTCATTTTTGTTGAGCTGATTTTTAAGAAGCTATTGCATCCAAAGTAGTGGTTTCTTTTATCTCTACTCATATGATATAACAACCTGAAAAGAATTTATATGATATACCAATGTTTTGATCTCATAGAAAACTTGGCCATGCGAGATATTTGTATGGAGAGCGGTTGTCTCTAGTTTATTATCTTTTGAAAGTTGAATGAATGGAGTGGAATCAGTTGGCCTTTCTATTTTCTAGCGGAGTACTCATCGGTATTTTTATATAGTGTGTAATGCATTTAACAGGATATCCTTTTGCATCACTAAGTACTAGAGTTAAAAAAAAGTGAATAAAATAAGAAAACTCATGAGAGTAGCAGGAGATAAATTGTTAGTTTTTTTTTTTTTTTTTGCCTTTTTCAGTTTAGTTTTTTTAAAACTTCAATGGCTGATTGTTTTCTTTTGATTACCCGAACATGCTGATATCTTGATCACCTCTAGGTTGATAAAATCATGATAAGAAATGGCGGAATGCCGATAAAACTATCTTGATTGCTTCTCTAATGCGGATGAAAGAAATTGACCTGTTTTACTTGACTGCAATAAACCAACATTGATACCATTAGAAACCTATAATCTTGGTAGCTAGTTGAATTTTGCATGACGAAACTAGGGGGAAAATACTGATATCTGGGGTAGGTTTATAGCTTAATGAGTTGTTTCTATGTGTCTATAAGCCCTGTTTCAGACGCTGTTTTACAATGATGTCCATCATCCTTTTAATTCTTTTATTCTTGCTTCTTTTTGGGTGGCCTCTAGGGGGGATAGAGGAAAAGGGAGAGTGCTTTATGAAGACTGTTTGGAGATGTCACATGCTGTTCTTTTTTTGCATGGAACATAAACCTCTGAGAGTTTATTTGAAGTGAAATTGACAGTCTGGTTGTTATATGCTGCTTTCACTTCTTTAATGTTTGATTTACATGTATGTTTGCTTCAAATAGAATGTTTTGCTGCAATGTGAGATCTAATGTTCTACTGAAGTTGCTTTTGCTGCAGACTTATGTGGTTGGATCATTATCAAGTAACGGGCTCTATCTGTTGGATTTCTATCCAGATCATAGCTCCCCTTGCCATGTGGATTTCAAGTAAGTTTCAGTTTTCTTTTCAGGATCATCTCTTTCCTTTGACATAATTGCATTAGATGGCCATAGTGTGGAATGTTTTGATTTTCTGTTTTTACTCTCAACGTACTTGATGCTGACCTTTACATATGATTGCTTTGATGTCCATAGTGGACTGTTTTGATTTTATATTTTTACTTTCAACGTACTTGATGCAGATTTTAACATATGATTGCTTTTGTGTCTTCGATTCTTAACTGGCCAACTTGACAAAATTTGGGGGACTCAATGTTTTTCATTTTGCTTTGAGAATACAAGCTTATATGGGCATTCTTCTTATAGTGAGGAGATGCAAGAGCTTTGCGGAGTAAAGAGCCAGCATAAGCAAAATCAGTTCATTACAACATCTGAAGGTGTTACTGCATGTATTGCTCATCCCTTGACTGGAACCATTTTGGTCGGAACTAAGGTCTGTATTCTGCGGATTCACCTTACTTGATGGACCTAATTTGCTGGTTATGCTCAAAATACTTCCATATACATATAAGAAGCCTTTGTACCTCATGTCTTTGTAACGTACTCCTTTTGTCCCAATTTGTATTACATGAATTCTATGGTATGTTACAGAATGTTTTACGTCATGCCATTTATAATGTATTATATTTATATATATATACCTTTTTCACAAGTTTCAAGAACTTCAAATAATTAAGTTGTCAAATTTGATGTTATGTTTCCTCTATCAGCAGCCTTTCTTCATTTTTATTTTAATATTTTTTTCTACTGCTTTATGTAATATACAAGTCACAGTAATATTTAAAAAAAAACTAGCGTGCTACTGGCCACCCAATGCAGCAGGTAAGGGGCAGTTGGCTGTAGAGTCTAGTCCTACTAACTCTATTTTGGATCATCCTGTTTAGATGCAGTTGCTTTGGAGGCAGCCGTGCCCTTAACTCTGCTTTGTCTGCCACGAATATAAGTTATTTTGAGACTCATTTTGGAGGGGATTTTGATTTTGAAAAGAAGTAAATAGAATTCGAAATGCTTGTAGTCTCTGGAAACCTCTTATAGTCATTGTCTTATTTATTGCTTATATAATTTGAGTGCTGTTAAGATATTGCATATTTCGAAACAGCATTCTGGAAAAAATGTAATTATATGAGCACACATACCAATTTGATGCTAATTTTCTGTTCTAACAAGTCATTACTTCCCCCTATGGATGCAGCATTCGTCGCTTTTGGTGATTTCACAAACAGGAGGCAAGTCATTTCAAGGAGCATATGATTCTCCTAGCCTTGAAGGCAATCCCCGAAGCACCAGCTAAATCTTGCTTGCATGCTCATACACACATCTACCAAACTAGAATTGTTTGTAACAAGTGCAGCAGGAAAATTGACGGTGCATCAGCTTTAGACAATGTCTGAAGTTTGTGTTAAATGCAAGGTCTCTAACCACATATACTGTGGACGTGTATGAAGGAGTGCTTAGAGGGGCAGGCAAAAATTGTTCCAGTTTCTTTATGACTGAAAACAAAGAGTTATTACCGGAACATATTATCCGATCTAAATGATTTGCTGAAGTTGAAAGGATCTCTGCAATCCTTGAGCAAGTGAAGGAGGTGAAAGAAATCTAGCCTTCAAGTTTATGCTTGTGGTGGCGTACTCTTTCCTTCAACAGTTCAATCTTGTCCAACTCTTTTCATACCTGGCGTTGAAATGAAAAATCCTTTGGGCATATGATACAATGTTAATTTTAGCACAAGTTTACTCCTGTTCAAATTTGTTTACCAATTCCTGTAGGGATGGATGTAGTAAGTCAGCAGTGGGTGCAGGATTGAACTATATATATAGTTAAACAATTTAGCAAGAAATATATTCTTACGAATATCTATACCAACTGACTTAAAATATTGTTTACCAATATCCACACCGGGGGTCTAGCATTAGGAAAGTGTGGAGGTCGAGAATTAGGTTTGTAGGTTAGGAGGTAGCTGAGCATTTTTTTTCTACTTCGTACCGGTGTGAGGTTAGTCCGATAGGGTTGTCTTAAACTGCTAGTTATTAATGTTGTGTTCTCACTAGTCTTTTGTTTTTCATAGTGCCGGGCCTTATTTATTGGCTGCTGTTATTGCTTTTCATCTATTTTCTGGTTCTTATGGTGTTTTTATTATTTCTATGATTTCTGTTGATAGTATTGATGTAATGTCTCTTTTCGTTTTCTTGGGCTGAGGGTCTTTTGGAAACAACGTTTCTATTCCTTCGGGGTAGGGGTAAGGTCTGCGTGCACACTACCCTCCTAGACCCCACTTGTGGGATTTTACTGGGTTGTTGTTGAGTTGGGGGTCTATCGGAAACAGGCTCTCTACCTTCACAAAGGTAGAAGTAAGGTCTGCGTACATCTTATCCCAGACCCCATTTGGTGGGATTTTACTGAGTATGTTGTTGTTGTTGTATATTCATTCATTATTGTGCTTTAGCAGCCTGCAGTTTCCAGAAGTCACGCCATTCTAAATATTCGAAATAATTACACACTCCTGCTTATGGTGGTTTTAGAAAACAGGAATGAATATAGCAATTTATTACACGTCAACTTGACAAGAACTCAAAAAGATTACAACAACAATTATTTATTTCAGTTATTTGAACCCAAGAAACATGCAACTTAAGCAGAATTATTCTGAGCAAAATCAAGAGAATTCTTTCCTTCATGAGCTTTTCCAAAAAAGTTTTGCATGTAATCACCAAACAAGACTTCTTTGTAATGAGCAAAACCATCAATTTCCACAAGCTGAGGCAATGGACCTATCTTTTCACTTGGCTTTGGTGTAGTAAATAATGGAACTGAAACTCTTGATTCTGAACTTGTTGTACGAACTCTATGTTCAGCACTTTTATATCTACCATTGCTTAATATCTAAATCCAAATCCAAAAATAAATAAATAAGTAAATAGTTAGGAAAAAAAATTTAAAATGTAAAAAATATTAGGGTCTATTTGCTTTGATCACGTAAAATTCAGCACACATTATATAATGGGATATTTTCACTTTTAATGTGCGCCAGAAACTATTTACATTCTATAATTGGTTCTCGGAGCATGATTTATAGTGTGTTTGGTATGGCAGAAGTCATCTTTTATGAAATGTTTCCGATGTTGGTTGGCGAGCAAAAAATATTTTATAGAAAATATATATTAATTAAAGATTAATCATTGTACTAGCAAATCATATAGCATTTTGATAACTCTTTTAATTTGAGTACTAAAGATTAATAATAATATCTAAGCGTTAGAGCAAGTAATATGAAGTTAAAACTTAAAAGTCAAGATAGTTGCCCTCATAAGTGAGGTAAGTCAATTTTTTCTTGTTTGACGGAAATTACAATGTGTCAACCAAAATATACCAGACTTTTTCGTGAAAAATATTTTCTTGGAAAATAACTACCGTTATACCAACGGACGTAGTTAATTTGACATATTTAGTGATCGTGAGCTATGTTGCACAAATTCTCCATAATGCTGCCGCACCTATGTCGGATTTTCCAAAATACACTACTTTTGGAGGATTCGACACGCACCTGACAATATTTTCGGAGAGTCCGAGCAACATAGATGGTGAGTACTTACTTGCATGGTATCTCCAACATTGATAACCAAAGCACCAGGAATAGGAGGAATTTCTATCCACTCATCTTTTCCTTCTTTTACATCTTCTTCAAGTTTAACATATAAACCACCAATTCCATCTTGTAGTAAAACAGTTAAAGTTCCCATATCTGAATGACGTCCAACTCCAACTGTTAGCTCTGGATTAGGACAAGTTGGATAAAAATTCATGTTAACCATTTTAAGTCCTGTTAATGATTCAAATTTTGTGTCATCTAGTGTTGCTCCAAGGTTTCCAAATAGTATCTCCAATAGTTGCCTCACCATTTTTGTTGATGATTTCAAGTATTCAAGAGCCACTTCCCTGTAATTTTGAGAAAAAGATTTAAAAAGAGAATGTATAGACATATATTTGATATGGTTCAACTTATATACACTAAAAAAAAAAAGGTTGTTCGTGCACAAGATATCCTGTATTCATGCGGGGTCCATGAAAGATCACACTTCAAGGGGTGTGATGTAGATAGCCAACAGTGGCGAAGCCAGAATTTTCACCGAGGGGTGTCAACTATAAAAAAAATAGATACTAGGGAAGTCAACGTATAGTAAGTATACATAAAACATAAAAATTTATCTAGCAGTACAATATAATGTTCCGGCTAAGGGGTGTCGATTGACACCCCTTGGTTGAATGTGGCTCCGCCACTGTAGACAACCTACCCCAATGTATGCATTAGTGGCTGCTTTCACGGCTCGAACACGTGAACTATAGGTCACACGGAGACAACTTGACCGTTGCTCTAAGACTCTCCTTCAACTTATATACACTGACAATATAATTTTTTTACTCTATCAGTTGTAGCAGGTTGTATATTGTTGATTTCCCATATAGATTTGGTATGAGGTTATTGGACTTTTTATATGGTTTTGGGCATCTTTATTTCATGAGCTAACTTTTTGTCAGAACACATTTTATACTTAATGACAGTATAAAGAATTTTTACACTACGTATGAAAATTTATCTGTTATAGTTGATTGTGTACCTTATTTTCTAGGTAACTAATTTCACCTATTACAAATAATTCCTGACAATTATTCCTTTCATGATCGATCTGATACATTATAACGTTCTTTTTCACAGTTAGTATAAAAGAGTTAGACTTTTTTCGTTATACTAAAAAAGTTATGTGCATGAAGTAGTGAAGCTAAAAGAGAAAGTGTTGCTCCCTATGTCGAACTTCCGACACGAATTCAAATATAGTCGAGCTAGCTCAATACAAATACCGAACATCAAATGAAAAATAGAAAAAATAAAAGAGAAAGTGAAGAAGCTTCTTACTTGCATTCATTTGGCCATTGAGAAAGTGCTTCATTATCATTAGTATAAATCATACTAACATAATCTTTCCATTCCAAAGCCATTTCCATTTCAGGTACAAAACTAGTTCCATATTTTACTAAAGGACTTGGACTTAATCCTTTAAGATAAATAGCTTTTTTCTCAGGTGGTTGAGAAAAAAACTTATGTGCTACATTTTTAAGTAATTCCAATAATTCCAAATTAATACCATGATTTATCACTTGAAAAAAACCAAGTGTTTCAGCTGCAATTGAAATATCTCTCACCACTTGATCATTTTCAGGTCCATTTAATTTTGATAAATCAATGGCAACCAATTCTTGATATTTTTGTTGGATTCTTGAATTGATAATTTTCTTATCAATTCTTTCATTTGGTGGTTGAATGTATCTTTTTGGTACAATTTTAATGCCATTGTCTACAAGTCCCTTTACTCCATTACCCTTTTGGACCACAAAATCATATAAGAAATTCCCATCATCAAAACTTGGGGCCATATTCTTGATAAAAGAAAAGTTTAAATTTGCTTTTGTTTTTTGGGTTGTAATTGAAGATTTTGTGATTTTCAATGAGGAATTTTGAACAAATTTATAGTAAAGGTTTTTGGTTATACTGAAATGTAAGATCATAAGGTCAAGTTTAATTATATATTCAGAAGGCAAGATTTAGGACTTGAAGTTGTTAAGATACTATCAGTTGCACATAAAAATATATATAATGGAATTAATGTAGAAGATCTTTGATTCTTTATCATAAGGAAAAGATTGTACCCTTGTTTGAATTAGTTGAACACCAAAAAAATATATACAATCAAACCTCTCTATAACAATCTCATTTTTTCCTATATTTCTTGGCTACTATAGTGAAGTGTTGTTATAGAAAATATATACTATAACATAATATAAAAATCGGTTCTAAGAAAAACTTGACTTTTATAGTGAATGATTATTATATAGGGATGTTGTTATAGGGAAACCTGGCTGTATTGAATATTTTAGAAGACACTACCTCTTTGATTTCTTATTAGACAAAAACAAGATTCTAACCTTGTATGTGCACTGACGGGATTAGGAGTGGCAAACGGACGAGTCGGGTCGAATATGGTTCGGGTTGAAACGGGTAATGAAAAAACGGATAAATTATCCGATCCTACCCATATTTAATACGAATAAAAAACGGGTTAACCGGCGGATAATATGAGTAACCATATTATCCATGACTTCTTGCATATGATTACTTTTGGGAGAATACTTAGGCCCCATTTGGCCATACATTTTGGCACCATGTTTTCAAATCTTTTTTGAAAATGTTGTTTGTTCATAGATTAATGATCTATTTTTGAAAAATTTCTGAAATTATTTTTCAAGTTCCCAAAATCTAGTTTAGGGTAGATTTTGGGTGAAACTTGTTCTCCCACTCACAAAACTTCAAATTTTTTTCAAATAAAATGCATGTCTAAACATTATTTCAACTTCAAAAAATTATTTTTCAAAACTACTTCAAAAATTATTTTTTCAAGTTTCAACTAAATCTATGTCCAAACGCTAGCTTAGTCTCCCTAACTTGAGAAACCCCCAATTTGATGCTTTACAAATATAAAAGTTAGACCCATTGGTTATCCATTTTCTAAATGGATAATATGGTTCTTATCCATATTTGACCCGTTTTCAAAAAGTTCATTATCTAAGCCATTTTTTAGTGGATAATATGGGTAATGAACTGTTTTATTTTAACCATTTTACCACCCCTAGACAGAATATATATTTTACATTATCAGGTCGATTTGACATACAATAACAAGTAACTTTTCCAAGCAAGCTAGCATGATATGGTAATTTGGAAAATAGAGTAATAACGTACAACAACCAATTAAATTAAACAATTTTTTTTTGCACTATTGTCGGTGTATATTACTTAAATCCTTAGTTCAAACACTAAATAAGGATCTAAATTAAATGTAAAAGAAGACATATAATATGTTTGTGCATGACAATCCTATGAGATTTAAGATTAATAAAGGCATGATTCTGAACTTCTAAGTAGGTGATAACAAAGAAGACTTTTTTGAGATTGAATTAAATTTAATTCTTAAGTCACTTAAATAAAGGTTTGGCAAGCCACTACAGTCACACTCAATTTTATACACTATAC